ATAGTTAAAGCTCTCTTAGATGCAGGATGTTGTGAAACAGTTGTGTGCAGAACAAAAGTACCCTCATACATGTACAAAAAACCAGAACGATGTCTGGACAAATACTGAAAAATGATGAAGAGATAAATAATATCTCTCTTCAATTCAGTACAAATTGTGACCTGTTTGGTAAAAAAATACACATTAAAAACCATGCAAGTGGAAAATTTAGTCCCCTCCAAACAAAGTATGACTATTGGCTTATATTTTATTCTTGGTCAAAATCGAACTATCACTATAAATAAAGATTATGTTATCATTAGTGATAGAACACATATGTCTCTCATAATTAGTGGTGAAAATAAAAAATACTTAGAACAACCTATTGAGGAATGTTCTTGTAAAAACTCCAAACCTTCTGATACATGTGATTGTATAAAAGAAGATTTAGAAAATATTGATTATTACTACACAAAACATGTTATGGAATCTTTTTCTTCCATAAAGATATAAAAAACAATTACGTTTGACAATATCTAACAGATTTTGAATAGGTTAAACAAAACAAGCATAATAGGAGAAGATCCCACCAAGTTTTGGGATCGAGACCCTATTATTTGCAAACTAAATATAATCAACCCTGATTTGATTATAGAAACAAAAGACATACAGTTTAATAACTGGGAACAAGAAGAATGTCGATTGCATATCAACAATCTTTTAAAACTGAAAGTAATAATTCCAAGTGAAAGTCCTCACAGGAGTCCTGCTTTCATAGTTAACAAAGCTTCTGAGCAAAAACGAGTTAAATCTAGGATGATTTACAATTATAAAAGACTGAACGATAACACAGTCGAAGATGGATATACTATTCCATCTAAAGATATTTTGATAAACCGCATATAGAATGCAAAATGGTTTTCAAAATTTGACTTAAAGAGTGGTAATGATAAAAGCCACACAGAATATGACTTTTATTCAAAGATTACATGAATTCTGACAAAATTATAATTTTTAAACATATTAAAGGATCTGATAATATGTTCGCTGACATCCTTTCCAAGTACGTCACAACCAAAGACTTAGTCAAGTCTTCCAAAAATAACCAAGTTTATGGATAATAATGAGGTAGCACAAAATGACTCTGAGATTCCCCTGGATATGGGTCTTTACACAGGTCATTAAGATTTGGTGCTATTTATAGCCCTCATCCGTCCATAAAAATTACAAAACACATTAATAGGCTAAAAAGAATATTAGCCAAATTACGTCTAAAGAAAGACAAAATAAACCCTCGTAACTTTGTTTAGGAGGTTGCCTTTTATAAGGCCCATATAAAATCCCTAGAACAAGATTTGGGAAAAATAAGTCATTTTGTTACTTGATATAACCCATTTTCTGATGTTTTTCAGGAACAAAAGACCATTGATGGTCATTACAAGTTAATATAACTTGCTTACTAATGTTTCTTTTTCAGGAACAAAAATCCAATGATGGATTCAACAAATAAAGGGAAAGTGCCTTTAGGTCCTAAACCCACAAAGTTCTCATTTATAGCGGAGAAATACATGAGGTATGGAAAACAAGAGTTACCCATACTTACAAATTCCTACCAGTTTCCTAGTAGAGAATCTACAAATGTCAAATTAAATGTTTTATTTGACAACGTTTGGAATATTCCAAAATACACAGTTAAGAATAAGCAACAAGTCGCTAAAATGAATCAAAGCATTATTAGCGCACTATACTGTTTCTGCAATACAGATAACAAGGAAGTTAGGTTGACTTCAACTGTATCTCCTTCTGGTAAGGAGTTTACACATTATACCCTAGTTACAGGGCCAAACAAGGGAGTTTATACTTCCTATAAAGAACTCTCTGAGGCCAAACAAGACTATTTTTGCTTTAATTACAAAGGTTTTTATTCCAATGAAGAAGCCTAGATGACTTTGAAATTGGAAACAATAAATGAAGATAAAATAAAAAATGGTCCTTTTGCTTGAACCAAAGCCCAAACACAAACCTATGCAGGAGCTTGTAGTCTTCCTACCTAGGTTAACCCAAACATTTTCTTAGCCAAGTTTGGCTTGATACAGGAATTTCTATTTGAAATCCATTATGAAGCTCAAAATCCCAAAGGGCTTATTGTCAAAACACAAACTTATTTCAACACTAGGAACCCTTGCTTAGGATCCTCAAAATACTGTAAAACAGTAACCACAAATTGTACATGCCAATTAAAGTTTGTCATTCGAAGGGCACTAATTGATTTAACGACCTTCAAAAACTAGTTATACCGAGAGTTTCTAATAAGTCCTCAACTTTTGTTAGAAGCTGGATGTCTCCAAGCTATTTCCATCCCGCCCACAGAAAGATATCACTCATTAACCCCAGAGATAAACTCTGTAGTAAATGAGATACAAGCTGAGCACATGACGAACGTGCTCCTACACATTACTTCTTTCCTAAGAAGTCACACTTCACTTAATAGCGTGGCAAAACACGTTGTTAAGTTATACACAAAGGTAAATCCTGAAATACTTACCTCAACAGAACACGATCCCTTTAAAGGACTTACTCTTAACAAAAATAAGTTTTACGAGTACCAGCTTTGGAATTCTTATGTAGAAGGATTTAACTAGAATTTCTCCAAAAAAGATATTTCAGATTTTATTCTTCTTAAAGAAACAACTGACACCAAGCTTTATTGGAAACAAATCATGGGAAACAAATTTCATCCTTTCCCTACTAAAGCCAATCCAATTCTAGTAAAACACTTTGAAAAAGAAATAATTTTTAAAGAAATTTATGAAGAGACCGAAATCCATGGACAAGGAACTCCCGGAACTTCATTTCCCTTTAACGATGAGGAAATAAACTTCACAGATCAAATGATTGAAGAAGGACTTGAAGACATATCTTCTGTATCAGTTTCCAGAAGATGTTCTTAAAACTTCAAACGGTGGAACTGTACAAACCCCATCTCACCACAACCAATGAGTCTTTCAGATAAAGACGAATTTGTCCTTGAAGATTTCAAGGAACTTCTAATGACGTAAGCCCTTACGTCATACAACAATATCAAAAGATGACAAAGGTTAATGATAGATAATGATATCTTGCTACCTTGTCATGGTTAAAGACGGAAAGATTGAACCAATCTTTTGATAACAAATTGGTAGAAATCATTATACCAAAATTAAAAAAAAAAAAATCAAATCAACTGTTTTTGTCTTTTAATGAGGAAAGAATATCTTCCGTAACTCCCCCTTCCCCATTAAGTTAACTTCTCGACTAAGTTAACTTCTTCTTTAATTTTTTTTTAAGATCCATAAGTCTTTAAATGGGTCCCACATTTAAAGTTTAATATTTAATATTTTAATATTTTTATTTTCTATATAAGGACTTGTAAGCTTATGATGTTTGGCAAGGTCCTTCCCATAGCCTCCCTGTCTCTCTCTTCCAATTTTCTCCTCCTTCTCTCTACCTCTCTCTCTTACTCTCATGTAAATTTATCTCCATCAATAAGAGAAGCACTTTCAGTTTTTCCCTCTCCTTCCCCCTTTCCGAGTAAGTTTTCTTTACTCCCTTTTTATGGAGTAGTTTTCTTATAAGGGCGTTCTCGGATGCCTTAAGTAGTATTTATTAAAAGATGCAATAATCATTTAAAGGCTTAAAAACTTTTGTATAACTTTTATGTTCATATAAGCTTATGAGGAGATGTCTAACCAGTACTGCCAGATTCAGTTATCTCATAATCTTATCATGGACTTGTGTGTTTATTTTTCTGTCTTTACTTTCCTGTCTTTTGTTTAGTTCATATATAAGCTTATGAGGAGATGTCTAACCGGTTCTTCATTCATCTCATAATCTTATTTATAACATTTTTTTACTATAACTGACTTTATCTCGAACAATCATCATTTAAGCTAGCTTGGTTTCAGATTCTTTGTAAGATAAGTAGTCACGTTGACCTACAGAAGAGATAAAGAGTTATAACGTGTTTTTATTTATTTCTTTTCTCGTCATGTCCCTCTTTCCCCCCTCCTTTTGTATCAGAGCAAATTTCTGGGTTTCATCTCAGTTTTTCAAGATAAGATTATGATATGAATGAATCTGGCAGAACTGGTTAGACATCTCCTCATAAGTTTATATATGAACTAAAAAAAGTAGGAAAGTAAAGACAAAAAAATAAACACACAAGTTCATGATAAGATTATGAGATGATTAAATATGGCAGAGTCGGTTAGACATCTCCTCATAAGCTTATATGAACATAAAAGTTATACAAAAAATTTTAAGCCTGTTATGTATTCAACTTGTATCTCATTTAGTATAGAATTTATTTCTTGAGTTAATGAGTGAAATTTTTTCACGTAGGCGGGATAGAAATAGCTTGGAGACATTTGTCTTCTAACAAAACTTGAGAACTTATTAGAAGCTTTCGGTATAACGGGTTAATTTTTTAACTTAAATTAATCTATTTCTCAATAATTTTAAACTTAGTCATTAAATTAAATTTATAATTTTAATATAGTGATGATTAGGTTGGTAAATGTCGATATATATATATATATATATATATATATATATTATTGATAATTAAATATTTATTTTATATTTTTATATATTTTATATTTTTTTATATCTAATGATTTATTTTACGTGTGATGATATTTATATTTAAATTAATATCTATATATATATATATATATATATATTAAATGTTAACTTACTAAAATAAAAAACATAATAAAAAGTACGAACACACATGTTATATATAGCTATTTTTAATATCCAAGTTCCTATTGTATGGGTAAAAGAAATAATTACTCTTATCCGTGCTACATTTTTCTTAGGAAGACAGATTCACAGGTCAACCATGGCGATTGCCACTTTCTCTGAAAAAAAACTAAAGAAAAAAACAATGAAACGAGGATGACTTGATGCAGAACAATGGAGGTAAATTAATTATTTTCCATACCTCTCTTGTTCTTCTTCTCTTCCTCATTCCTTCATTCATGGATGATCACTATTGCTTACCCGATTCAGGGTCTTCTTCCAACGCCTACTGGCTCCTTCTCCAAGTCCTCTCTCTCATTCCTCTCTGGCACTACCTTCTCCTCGCAGCTTTCGTTCTCTTCTCTATTCTCTACAAATTCCTCGAGCTCCATTTCTTCGAAGACCTCCTCTCCGGATTCGCAGGTTCCCCCGTGCTTCTGTCCTACAACACCTCCTCTCAAATCCGCGATGCCGTCGTTTCGAAGTGCGAGGTTCTTCGCGGCAGATATTTGGCCACGCCCTGGCTCTGCAGCCCTCATCTTCAGACTCTTTTCTTGAACTACTTCGGCAGACCTCCCTTGCTGAAATACACAAGGTCAACCCAACGTTTTTCACTGATCACTATTTAATTATTATATCGTTTTTTTATTGAAAAACCTGATTCGATAGTTGAAAATTGACGATGCAATGATTAATTTTGTTTCAGGGAACTGTTTAGGACTGCTGATGGTGGAACCATTGCCTTGGATTGGCTGTTGAGTTCTGATGGTATGTATAATTTGTTGCATAATGCGAGTTAAGTCTAGCATTCAATAAGAATAAGAAATTGAGAACATATTTTGGGTTAGAGTGATGTGATTTTTTATGTGGATTCAACTCATGTTTCATTGATGTGTTTCTCTTATGTAAATTTATGTGTTTCTCTTATGTAAATTTAAAGTGTTGTATGGGTAAATTTTAGTTATGAACATGCGTATTTAAATTAATTTGGAAATAGTTGTCAAATTGGAAGGTTGATCCATCTTTCTGTCTTTTGTGACTGATCATTTTGCAGTTTCGGATGATGTTGTTTCTGAAGATGAATCTACTCCCATTGTTGTAGTTCTTCCTGGCCTCACAAGTGACTCTTCGTCTCAAGTAAGTGTTTCTATTTACATTTTAATTTTAATATGCGCATTGATGTCAAAGAATTGAAAATAACTTTATTACTTTTATAGTGGATATTAAAAGGGTAAAAAAATCTTACGGTTAGATGATAATGTAAGTCAACATTGTTAGCTATTTGTAATACATGTTAATGGGATTTCACTATGCGTTAACTTGGGTTTTAGTCCGAGTTTCTTCAAATTTCTTAAATTCAGAATGTATGTTTTAACTCTATGATGCTTATAGGATAATGCTGTAACTATTGAAACACATTACACATAAAATATTAAACGTCATAAATTGAAGTCCTCCTATGCTCGCCATTTTTTTGGCCGCATGCGAGTGTTATGAACGAAAGTGGGGATTATGATATCAAACTAAAGATTTTAGTGGTATATTGTTTCCCCAAGGGCTCAAACTAAGTGGAAAGTAGCCAAGAGTAATAAGGTGTTAATTCTAATAGGAACAAATGTTTGATTTGTTTCCCGTTACAGTTGACAAAATGGGAAAGTGAATTGGACACTATTGTGTTATTAATTTAGTCTTACGTGAAACATCAAGTACAATAAATGTTTTCTTGTATCCTTATGAATGTCCCTCAGTTTTCATATTTTAGCTTGATTTTGATTTAGGAGATTCCTTTTTACTATAATGATGTCTTACAGCTTTATTTTTGCTTTTCTTACTTTCATGTTGATAGTATATCAAACATCTCGCCTATCAGACAGCAAAGCGTGGATGGAAGGTTGTTGTCTGTAACCACCGAGGTTTGGGAGGTGTTTCTATCACGGTTAGTTTCCCCGCAAGCTAGAAGGATGATACACATATAAAACAAAACTTGAATGCTGTTGATACACATAAGCACTGATCAGCGTCTATAACTCCATATTGTACTTGCTCTTAAGCAGCTAAATCTCTTTTAAGTTATTCGGTGAATGTAGGCATTGCACTCCACCAATCAATAAAATTAAAATCTAAACAAGAAAATCACTTAGATGAGACGAAGCTTGGCAATCTATTTGTATTGAAGAAAAAAGGTTCTAGAAAATTTCATTGGTTGAAAACTGTAAAAGGGTCAAGGGCCTGTGTGTTTAATTGCCAATCTATTTGCATCGTACCAATTTCATGTTCTGATTTTAATAGTTTCTTCCCCTTTTAACGTCTTTTCCTTGTTAAAATAATTTCAGTCCGATATTTCCTACAATGCTGGATGGACTGAGGATGTCCGCACAGTGGTTAATTATCTCCATAAAGAGAGATCCAAGGCACCTCTGTTTGTTGTTGGAACAAGTATTGGAGCTAATATTCTGGTATGTTCATACCTTGAGCTTATGCAATGCTTATAATAGATTTTACCTTTTTTACGTCCAAAATAATTTAAATTACTAATAATAATATTTCTTATATATATATATATATATATATATATATATATATATATATATTAAATGAAACAGATCCTTGTTACAATTTATTTATATACTTATTTTAAATGGTCTGATCTAAACATATAAATTTCCATTGAATCACATAAAATATTAGGTTCCACTTGTAGCGAGGACCAAGAAAAAATGATTTAATTGCTGTGTATAATATTTCTATCATATCGATAATTTGTGTCAACTATGCTTTATTCCGGTTATAGCTTTATTAAAGAATTTCGCTTTCTCAGATTATATATCAAACTCGGACTAACACCAGTTACAATTGTGAATGAGATTAGTATTTGTTAGGGTGGATGGGGAAACGATGGAAGAAAAAAAAATAGTTTACGTAAATTGATAGAGCCATTATTTGTTCATTACCTTTCTTTCTTCAGTAATTTTTAATTCTGTTATGTAATGGCTATCGAGAGTACAAAAAACGTTGCCAAATTCTAAAATGGATTGCACATCCATTTAAAGATCTACTTCATAAATAATCTTGATTGTATCATAAGAACCCCCTCCTATAATTAAAGAATACAACGTAAGGAAAATATCATTTGGTTTCCCAACAGCCTGTTTTGATACATTTTATCCCCTGTGTTGATGGCTTAATGCTGAAATTTGTTATAATATTTCTCATCGTTAAAACGTATTTTATCTGCCTTTCACACTATAGACTGCACAAAATTCAGTTATTCTCACTTATGCGAGGAACTGTGTTTTAGCCCTGCATTTTTTTATTCAAGGATTGTTTGTAGGTTAAATATCTTGGCGAGGATGGTGAGAATATTCCTGTTGCCGGAGCTGTTGCTGTTTGCTCTCCCTGGGACCTTTTGGTTAGTAATTTGATTTTAAAATAATTTGTTTTAAATTGAGTTTCAAAATGGCTTTGGTTAATATGCAGAATATGCTATGAAAAATCACTACAATCTGTCATTTGAATTTGTTCTCACTTCTCATTGTAATTGTTTGTGGATTTGATTGAAGAAAAGAAATTAGTTTCGTATGAAACTGAAAATAATACAAATTGAATGAAATAGTTGAATTTATTTTAAAAATTCGAGTTAGGGATCTATAATTGCAATGTCTTAAAAGCCAAGTCATAGAAGTGGTGGAGGAAGCAATAATAAAAGGCCAAATTTTCCATCCATGTGTTTTTTTTAATAAAAAAATGTTTGTGAATAATAAAAACTGTAAAATGTTGTCAATGAGACTAGTGGTTCGAATTGAGTAACTATACCTGAGTTGAATTGATGACAATTCTAACATATTGATGCCATGTCTTAGTTTTAGTGCTTGTTCGTTCTTCTACGTTGATTTAAAAAACGAAACTATTTTTTCCCCTGATGCCAAATTATATCCAATGAAAAATATTTTTCTGGTTTTCTGGTCGCTGTTTCAATAGTTTTTTTTTTCATCCATGAAGTCTCAAAGTATATAAAATATAATATATATATATATATATATATATATATATATATATTTGTTTGGATCTGTTTTAAATTGTTTAAAATAGCAGAATTATCGATGGAGCTATATTGAATTTAATTTCCTCTTCAATATTCTTGTATATGTTTGAACTAATCTTCATTTTTTATCGGATTGTAGCTAGGGGACAGATACATTCGCCGACGGCGTGTGCAAAAAATTTATGATAAAGTGGTTGCATTTGGGCTTCAACATTACGCAAAATTGTATGTCTGCATTTTTCAGTTGAATTAACCTATCTTGTTCATAAGCTCTTGTTTTATCTATCCAAGACAACGTAGAAAGTCCAGAAGTTTCTCTATAGTTCGTATCTTGACTTAATTTTATATTTTTGCCAATATTCATTGCAGACACCAATCTCACTTTTCTCGAAATGCTAATTGGGAAGGAATTGAAAAGGTGGCCTAACTCATTATTGTTTTATTTTCATTTCAGTACCCTTTTATTGTTTTATATACTAATGGTAAAATAGTGCTCTGTTTTTGTCGTGTTATCAAGGGAATTTAATTGCCTGTGCTAGTGTGGAAGATGCAAGAAGGGTGTTAGGTTGCTGATCTAGGACTAGCAATTGCCTCTGAATATTCTATACTTTTAATTATATTTGTTTTTTGTGTGTTATAATGTGTAAATATTACTAGTTTAGCATATACATTTTCGAGAGATTAAATGTTTAGTTATTACCTATTTAGCTGTCAGGATATTACTTTTTCTTGGCTTAATTATTCTAATTCTAATACCTATAACATTCTTAAGGTTATTGTCATATTTAATGAGTTTTTAAACTTTTATCAATCATGTGTGCGTGTACGTTTCTCTGGTTTGCAGTCACGTTCTGTTCGCGATTTTGATGATCATGCCACCCGTGTAGTTGGGAAGTATGAGGTACTTGTGTATGGTCTAAATTTGTAATATTTTATCTCTTTTTCTGCCTCCTGCTATTAGTTAATCAAAATCAACTTGCTTCCTTAGAGTGTGGATACGTTCTACAGACGCTGCAGTAGTGCTACTTATGTGCAATCTGTTTCCGTTCCGCTTCTCTGCATTAGTGCTCTGGATGATCCAATCTGTACAACAGAAGCCATTCCCTGGGATGAATGCAAGTATGCTCCTCTATTGTTTCATTGCTTCTAATTTATTTGTTTTCTCTCGTATTACCTTTGCATAAATTTTAATGTACTACTCTTTTGGTAGGGCAAATAAAAATATTTTGTTGGTTACGGTAAAGCATGGAGGACATCTGGCCTTTTTTGAAGGGCTAACTGCATCTCACCTTTGGTACATGTGTCGTTTTCTATATCCTATTCATCTCTTCAGTATTTACTTATACCTAACAATCTTATGCATTGAACTGTCCTTCAATCATTGTATCTAGACGGTAAAACGGATTAATCTATCGGCGCGTACTAGTCAATTATAGTTATGAACTATATTTTATTATTTTTAAATTAATTTTTTTAATAAATTTAATAATCAATTTATTATTCTCAATAATCATATATATATATATATATATATATATTTTAAGTTAATAATATAAATTGATATATTATTTTAATAAATTATATTTTAGAACAATTAAATTAAGATAACTTCATTCTCAATTTTATTTTCATGGACGATATTATTAAGATCACAAGTAGGTTTATTAATTGAATCATCCATTTTCAGTTTAAAATTAAAAAAAATTCATAATTTTTTCTTACTCAGATATTTCAACAAAAGTATAAATAGAAAAACATAATAAATGAGTCATGAGAGAAAAAATACTAAAAAAAATGAAACCTTAAGAAAGTAACAAATATAAAAGAAAGGAAAAGAATATGAAATATATATGATTTTTATCTAGAAAGAAGGATAAACAAGAAAGATAGATGATGAGTAAGAGGAGAGAAAAGAGGGATTTATTCTTAAGAAAGTGTTTCTAGTAATGAAAGTTTAAATAATTTAAAAAAAAATTTAATTCTCTTAGTTATGAAATATAAATTCTTTTTATGAGACATTGAGATTTTTAAAATTTATTTTTTATAAATTTTTATATTATATATTATTTTTCTTACCATTCGTATTATATCATAATAAAAATAATATTAGTAAAATGGGTCGCAGCGTCGTATTATGACAAACCGGTTCGTCCTGATGTATCATCCTGATTGCAACATTTCCTTTTGAGCGTGTGGATATTTATTGTAACACTCTTGATATCAGTTTTTGGTTACTTCCAATTGTACTAGTATCCACGCCATGGGCTAAATTCCAATCAAGCTGCCTTTAATATAATAGAGAACAATTTTCCCCTCTTGCAGGTGGGTAAGAGCTGTAAATGAATTTCTTGGTGTACTACACAGTAACAACTATATGCGTGTACAGGAGAAGGTACAAACTGGTGTCATATTTGGCTTAGGGAAATGAGCAGATTATTTCTGTTGGCTGAATTCTGATTGCTTTGCTTACTGCCTTGTAGATTTCCAAACCAAAATTTCCATTGGAATCGTCAATTGACCAAGGCCCCTATGTTAATGTATCTGAAAATGGAAAGGTAGCTGCAGTGAACAATGACCTCAAAACAAAGTGGAAGAAATTCCGGGATATGTATCATGACAATCATAATAACAGGGTTCCACGAGTAAAAAGTTCATTGAAAAGATGAGCTTGTGACTAACCAATGCAAAGAGTTGGCGAATCCTCTGGCATCAGACCACAGTTTGTTTCAAAGATGCAGTGTCTCCTAATTTATAAAGCCTTTCAGACGATACTTAATCCTGTTAACATTGGTTTGAATAAAGATCTTCTATAATTCTTTTTAAATTGTAAAAGATTTTCATCTATAATTTTTCTTATATGAATGTTAAAAAAATATGTATGAATGAAGGCTATTAAATTTTAAGTCCCATCACTAGCAATTCATTTTTTTGAAATGCTTCCAATCCAGATTTTACCTAGTTAGTTTTAACAAATTTAAAATATAATTATATAAAATGTTTTTGAAACTACCCATACTTAAACTGGCAATTTCAGGTTTCATGATTCAATAGAGATTGATAAAATTATTTTAATACTTTAAAATATACAAAATAGTATAAAACATATATAAAATAATAATTTAATGACGTTAAAAACTAGAATAAAATATAAATAATATAAATTTATAAGTCCTTAATATTTAAAATACATATAAAACTTTAAATAAAATTTCTATTATACTTAATTTAAAATTTTAATAATATATAATATTTATTAACCATAACAAATTTTTTTGTGGAATAAAAAGGAAAATAAGTAATATTTTTTGTTATTTTTACTTTATCTAAGAACAAAAATTAAAATTAAAATTGATTAAATTTTCTTACCGGTTTGACCAGTTTTTTTAAGTTTGATATAACATTATTTTATACATCATTAACCGAATGAGGATAGGAAAATATTGACTGATAACCCTCTTTTTATAAAATCTCATTTAATATAATATTAGTTTTTAATTACCCTCCTTTCACTTTTATTTTTTTCTGCTAAAAAATTACCCGCTTCGGTGACTTGTAAGCCACACTCGCTCTGTTTATCTTCCACGTTCAAATATTTGAAATCTCTTTGCATGTAGAGCTCCCCTAACCAGTTCAAAATATGTACCAATTCATTGTTGATTAAGTTTGATACTTCATATAATAATTTGATTACGAAAAGAACAGGTTGATTAAAAGGAATGTTTATGTAAAATAAACTATTAGAAAAAGATTACGTTCACAATCTTCAATAATACTAATCGTTAACAATGAATAGTTTGAAGCAATATCATGATTAATTAATAATATATATATACATATATATATATATATTTATATATATATATATATATATATATATATATTTATATATATATATATATATATATATATAATATTTTCACTTCTAAGAAAGTATATTTAAAACCAAACCTAAATCATTTGATTATGCGTAGAGTCATCACATCAAAACGAAAAGTTGACAAGAAAGTGGTAACCTAGACCCACATGAAATTTTTTATTTGCTCGTTGATCTTGATACTTATACCTTCAAATTCTGAGCTACTTTTGATTAACTTATTTGTAGAATTCCATCACTCCCGGACAAGAGTAGGCGCGGGAAGCAACTTGAAAATTTGAAAATCCAGAGAGCTTGCACAAATTCTCGTATTGTTTCTGAGTTCTTTCCTTTCCACCAGCTGTGATAAACATAATGTTGTCAAGGGTGGAAAAGAGCTGAGATTGTTCAGTTGGTTCTGGTTCTTCTGGCAATATGAACTCCACAACAATCACCTTCCCAGTTGGAGACAATGCTCTGTGACAATTGCTTAAAATTTCTAAGCATTTTTCATCAGACCAATTGTGGCATACAGCCTAAAATAACACAGAAAAAGATTTAGAACCTTCTAAATGAGATTAATAAGATTAATAAGATTAATAAAATGCATGAAATCTCAAGTGATGACCATAGACACACTCAGACACATATATCTGTTTACCATGCATGTATACTAACCTTTAGTATTATGGCGTCACCCTGCGGTACTCTTGCAAACATATCTCCTCCAACATGCTCAATCCCTTCACAAAATTTGGTTTTTTGGTGATCAGTAATTTCACAAGGTTTAAAACTGAACCTATATCATTAACATTTTGATATATGATAAACAATATACATATCAGGCTACCTGGAAGTAGTGGTGCATTTTCGATCACTTGGGGCAGATCAAAATTAATTCCTTTAATTAAAGGGTATTTAGAAATGATCATTTTGAGATTTTGTCCATTTCCACCTCCTACATCAACCAATGTTGATATTCCCTCAAATCCAGTATATATTTCAAGTATTCTAATCATATATGTTACACACAAGTCCGCCATTGACTTGTTAAAAACTTGGTTCATTTTTAAATCCTTTTCCATGTACTGGTACTTTGTTACTCCATGAAGTTTCTTGAACAAGTCAATGTCTGCACCAACCACTGCTTCCTTGAAATTCAGCCTGAAAGGAAAGTAACAACATTGGAGCACAGTAAGTTTCTTAGTTAACTTCTTGAAAAAGTGTAAACTATAGGGATACATTTTGAGTCATGATGACTTAATATTTTGGCTTTATGAAAAAAGTGTTTCCTAGTCTTCATCACAGTTATAAATGCAAAGCTCAAACTTAATACGTCTACTCAAACTAAAATAACTTTATATCAGTTGATCCATATAATGAGTAGTAATGGTAAGAATGTATTCGTAATTCATGAGTTGAGTCTTATATTTTGTAAGAACAAAAAAATTGAGTAATATATAAGAAACTATAATCTATAATATAATGGGTTAAGGTTTTTGGTTAAAAGTTGTATAGTTGAAATCATATCTTATTCATATTATTCTCCCCATTAAATCTTTATCGAAAGATCCAACTGAATGATACATGCTAGGAACTAAAATCATTTACCAAACTGGTGAGAGTGCAGGGTAACACAGAAAGGTCGCGAATGAAGCGAAGGAGCCCCTAGTGCCATCTGGAACAAAGTATTGTCCAACTTGTGAGAGTCCGTAAACTGTCTCAGTGGCACCATGTTGTGCAGTGCGAGTGGAACTAGTAAGAACAGAATAACTAGCAAGCAAACGCAGCATGCGTTCAAGCCTATTAGGCAAGTCAGGGTGTTGGTTTGGGAGCTTAGAAGCAATATCATGGGATGACATCAATGAACAACCATTTGGTGTTTCCTTAGCTATGATCTCAAACAAATTGAGCTGAATAGCAGCATTTAGAACTGCAGGGTACACTACAGTAGTACTAAGCATCATCGCAGATAGAAGGGCACCATCCTCACTTTCTGAAGGACAAGTTGTGCACAGGTTATTCTTGATCACAACATTGGCCTCCTCCATGCTTGCTTATTCTAATTCTAATGATCTTTTGTTTTTTTATTTGGTGGATTATTTGATTGCTTAATTGCTCTTCAGTGTGTCCTTTTTATAGTTTTTTTCCTCATGGTTACAATGCTTTACCTAATCAATTATGATTTTTCTTATCTTCCTGGTTTAATTTTTTTATAAGCTTGTGATTAAGCAAGGGTTGTGTTTAAAAGTATTTAAAAGTATTTATATAATATTCTTTATTTAATAATTTCCAAGCCATAATCATTTAACTTGATTATTCAAATAAAAATGATTATACTTTTAAATTTACAGCTAAATTTAAATTATAATAAAGTTGAAGACAGATTAAGATTTATGCAAGGAAAAAACTATTTTGATAACTCTATAAAACATCTAACCTACAAATAATTTTAATAATAATAATAATAATAATAATAATAATAATAATAATAATAATAATAATAATAATAATAATAATGTTTCGATACACTGCACGTTACCAACTAACCTTCGAGCGAGGAGATACGTAAGGAATAATAATGATTATGACTTGATAACGTGTCGGTGCTTTAAAGAAAAAGTCGTACATTGAGGAAAAATATGAATAGAGTGGAGAACTCGTTTTTCTATTTGTTAGCTTTTGTTTTGTTTCTATTTTCTCTTGTGTTAAATTCAAGTGTTTTTGGTATTCAATGGAAATTGTACAAAATTTCTATTATACAGGTATTTCTCGTGAAATTTTAGTCGATTTTGATTTCTTATATACTTAGGTTTTAACCAAATTTTAGCCATGTAAATTCTTTTTACTTAGGCTACCAACAGTTTTTAATCAAAACATGTATGAAAATCGAAAATGTCACAATATCAAACCGAATGAAAGATAAAACATGCACGTATATTAAAAACATGAAAATTGTGATAAAGCATGCATATCGAAAATCGAAAGTACTATTTTTTTGTATTTTTTATTAAGCAACTCGAAGTAAAGAAAACAGTAAAAAGGTATCGAGACAAAAAACAATACAAAATATTAAATTGCAGAGAAATGTAAATGCGGAACCTTAAAATTGCATTAAGTGTTAATGACAATGAATTGAAATTGCAAAAATATAAATAGCAAGAAATTGAAATTGTAGAAGTGTAAATGGTAGGAAATCGAAATTGCAAAAGTATAAATAACAGGAAATCGAAATTGCAGAAGTGTAAATGACAGGAAATTGAAATTGCAGAAGTGTAAATAGCGAGAAACTTAAACGTAAAATCTTAACTTGCATAAAGGTAAATGACAAGGAATTTAAAGGACAAGAACTTAAAATTGATAAATGTAAGTGACTGAACGAACATAAATTGCATGAAAGTAAATTACCAAGGAAAGTAAAGAAAGCAGTAAAGACAATCAATGAAAATAGAAATCTAGAGCACCAGAAATTTCATGATTTGTCGTTCTCCTGTAGATTTTTCACTTGTGTTTCTGTTGTCTCTGCCAATTTCCCGTTTTCCTTCAAACTTCGCTCTATTTATAGATCCGCTTCAATGTAATCTCCTAAGAGCAGTTTTAGAAACCTCTACCACGTTCCCATGCATGAGACAACTGCTCTCTTGATCTTCGATCTTAGCTACAGTTCAAAAACCGCTACCCATGTGCACGCTAACTGCCTCGATTTCTACTTTAGCCACAGTTTAGACAACTGTTTCTCATGTTCCATATGCGCGTTAACCGTTCCTCGATCTCGATTCCAGACATCGAGTACTTTGAACTGTTTTCTGGCTTTCCATTTAACTTCATACTCAATACCTTTCATCGATTTTTACTTCTCCATGATCATCGAATTTTCTGCTTTCTTTCGATTCTCGATTCCAATTCTCAATTTCCTTCAGCAATAACCATCGAACTCTCTTCTTTCGATTCTCGATTTCCATTCTCGATTTTTTTTAGCAGTAGCCATCGAATCTTCTTTTTTCGATTCTCGATTCCCATTCTCGATTGATGTTTTCATATTAATACATGGTCATCAAATGTCTTCCAACCATCTTTTCGATTTATCAATTTTTCAACTAACATACGATCCTCGATTTCCTTCTATCCGTTTTTCGATCCATATATCGATTTTTCCCATCAACAATAGGTTATTAAATTTATAGGTGGAAAAAGAAAACAAAATTTATAAATTACTTGTTAGTGTGATTTTCAAGTGTAATATTATTAATGAATTTATCAATAAAATAAGATTTTGTAAATAATAGATTTATAAATTTGTTATGTTACAAATGAATGAAATATAATTAATTATCACACCTGATTAATGAGAATCTCTTTATAAATGAGATTAAAAAAAATAAAAATAAAAAATCTAAAGTTCTCTTTGAACAAATAGTATTAACAACTAACCAAACCATGGTCGTCCGAGTCAACACAACGTCTCACCAAACCAATTTTACTGGTTAAAATAAATCAAATCATGGCTCTCTAAGTCAACGCAACCTAACCTGACCTAACCTAACAAAGATGATTTTCACACTTTTTCACTCACCAATTAATTTCATCATCCAAACAAAACAAACTTGTGTTCTGTATCCTTGTTAATGTTATATATGTTTTTAATAATAACTTACATATAAAAAGAAAGTGACATCTTATATTATGAGTAAATTATAATTCCTCCACCTATCACGTAAGTAACAATATGAAAGTTGACAGAAAAAGATAAACACTATTTACTATAATTTTTTTAATAACTAAATATATAATTGTGTCAAATTGAGATATTAAAACCATATTTAAGTATAAAATGAAATATTATATTTTAAAACATATGCAATTAACTTTAATTTAGGATGCAAAATTGGCATAACATTATTTTATTTATTTTATTCCTGACAACAAAAAATGTTTATAAATATGAAAGGACTAACATATATTAATAAAACGGATGATATGGATATTTTAAGATTTAAGTTTTTTTTTTGAGATTTGTATCTTTAGTCACGGTATAAAGTAATTAATTAGGTTTATTTCTAAATTATTTAAAGATTTGTGAATTATTTACAGTTTATTTGCAAATTATTCAACTATATCTGAATTCGAAGAGAAAAAAAAATAGAGTAGTTTGATTTGGTTGGATTGTAAAGAAAGGAAAGTCCATGATTAAGGAAGAAACGTGATTGAGTTTTCGTATAAATAATAAATATTATATGATAAATCAAATGCGAAAATTATAAATAATATACTATAATTGTGTTGTGTTTTTTTTTTTAATTATATTTTGTTATAAATAATTTATGGTTGATTATGAGATTTGTTTTCCTTTAAAAAAAATTAATATAACAAATAAATAATATTAATAATTGAATGATAAAAAAATAAAATAAAATATTATTATTATTATTAACCTCGGAAGTTAAATAGTAGTTAAATAAATATTTTAAATTATATCATTAAATACAATTCTTATATTATTTAAAAAAAATGAAAATGTATAATATTTTTATTTTTATTATTTTTTTATCTTATTTTGTAAAAAAATATTGTTTATTTTATAGTTCATCTCAATAACAATCCTATCATAGATGTAAAATTATTTTTCATTCTTACCCATCTTATTTTTATTATTAGTGTTTTAACATGCATAATACTGGAAAATAAATTATTATTTATAAAAAGCATTTATTATGCATCTAGTATATGATAAATGTTATGATATAATCTATTTATTTACTTATTAAAAGGATATAAAACATTATTTATTGAACAATATGTATCTTTTAATATATGTTTTCTTGTTTTTATCCTTACAAAAGTTATAATAAGCGAGAGAAGATGATTATATAAATTATTTTTTAAAATTATGTGAGACTTAATATATATATATATATATATATATATATATATATAATACTTAAAAATATAAAATAATAACAAAAAAAAAACTTTATAAGGAAGTTTTTTTCATAAATAATACTTGTTTTCAAAAATATTTACCCAAATAGCACCTCTGCAACTTTATTTACACAACTAGCATCATGTTCATCGTTCACTTAATAAAATAATATTATTTCGTGCAATCGTTCACTGTTCACTCGTATTAAAATAATATTATTTCGCGTCATTGAACTCTCGCTCAAGCGAAGAAAACCTTCGCTTGAGCGAGGAAACCTGTAACAAAGGGGTAGTGCGGGTAAATTCTCGCTCAAGCGAACGTTTTATCGCTTGAGCGAAAAGTATGATCGACTATTATCCCATTATAGTCGATCACTTTGACATATATGACTTTAGATAAGCGGTTATTTGGCCAACCGCTATCTAAACTACTACATTAGATAGCGGTTATTTGCCCAACCGCTATCTAATATAGTAGTTTAGATAGCGGTTGGCCAAATAACCGCTATCTAAAGTGACTCAAGCGAAAATCACACCGCTTGAGCGAGGACACCTGAAACAAGGGGGACTCTCGTTATATCCGAAATGGGAGAGCTACGGATAGAAACTGAAGTACATTCCTTTTATTGATGTATGAAAACCGTAATGTTTATATACAAGTAGAAATAACAAATAACGAGTAGAACGTAGAACGTGAACAAAACAGAAAAAAACTAAAAGAAACCCATGCACGTAATGCATGCCCCATGCACATAATACCCATACACGTAACTACCCATCATGCATTTTGACTTAAATCTCAACATGCCTACTTAAGTCAAACCGAACAATTCTCGGACACTCTCCGAGTTTACAAAATCTAGCAGCCTTCAAAGGCTTTGTAAAGATATCTCGCACTTTGATCTTCTCATACTGCAGGTTGCTCTATTTCAAGCTTCTTATCATTAACCTCGCTCTCTCAAGAAATGAAACCTCTCTCAAGAAATGAAACCTCATTTCTATATGTTTGCTTTTTCCATGAGCCGATGGGTGTTTAGCTAAGTCTATTGCGGACTTATTATCAACAAACAATGTTGGTGGTTGGACCAATTCCGCATTCAGCTCCTTCAACAAGCATCCCGAGCCATGCAGC